ACCTGCCCCTATCACATGCACCCCACCCCCATGGATGCATGTGCCCCCATATGCACGCCCCTGCATGCGCCCCCCCACATGACCAGCAGAGACCCAAAGACCAGCTGGCCAGCGGGAGGCGCATGCACATGTGCAACGGAGTTGAACTGGGGTGACGGCTTGTGGGCCCACAGAGAGGGCGCTGCGTGCCACCTCTGGCACACATGCCATAGGTTCATCATCATGGGCCTATTTGTTTAGACTAAGGTAGCTTTTGCCAACCTGGTGCTCTTCAGATAAAGGAACCAAAACCCAAAGCTTTTCTGTCAGCGTGGCCATTACTTACAATATGGCAATGGTTGTCTAGCAAGAACCTTTGGCTAAATAACTATTAATTGAGTAGTGGTTTTCCATGGGAGAGCTGCAATAAAATGTGTGTAATAAGCATAAATGTTTGAAAAAAATAGTGTGAAAAAAACCAGAACTCCATATAAATGTTCCCTTAAGTCAGAATCTTAGAGTCAGGCCCGAACAGACTAATATACTGGCAATGCCAGAGCAAATAGTAATAATGAAGATTAGACAAGGATTGGCAAGCTTGTTACTTGTGGGCTTAATTACATTAATTCTAGAACAATTTTGTGCCAAATATTAATATTTTGAGTCAAAGTGATATATTTTTTATTCCAATTTGAAGATCATGGGTGTAATATAACCATATCTTTTGGAAACTAAAATTTGGTCTAGAATGCCCAAGAGGAATGCCACCTATTTTTGACGTAAAAGAAACCTTTTTATATCCCATAATAAGTTTATGGAATTGGGCACAGCCAAGTTCAACTGGGAATCATTTGGATCAGCTGTACAGCACTGAAAAACCAGAAAATCACAAGGGCAAGTGAATTTGATGTTGAACATTTACATGCCATTATCTAGTGGAGATATACGGCTGGAAACATGTGGAAGAGGCCTTCCTCCTGCAGTGGATAGACAATGGCTAAGATGATGATGACGATGACGACATAGTGGAGAACAGATTCTCAGACATGGGAAAATGAGCATGTCCCAGGCAAAAATAATGAGTCTGAAGTTCCATTTATGTAAATAGGATACATCAAAATTAATATGGTATTATCTCTATGCTTTAAATTAACCTTATGGAACAATGCAACATTATTGTCATTATTGGGTTGCTACTGGTTCACCCCGGATCAGGCGAACCAGTGGCGGCAGTGGCAGGAGGCTCTGCCCACCCACCCGGATGTCACTGCGCATGCGCAGAAATATTGCATGCACACTCCCACGAGCTAACCGGTATCAGCCGAAATTGAAACCCACTACTGATTGTCACCCATGTGACTGTCTTGCTTAGTAAGTTTGTGACCGAGATAAAATCTGAATGGGCTGTCAGTTTTTAACCACTGTTTTACGTCTTCCATCTCTCTTTCTTTTCAAGTCAGAAAGTCATCATTCTAGCATATAATTGATCGCAACTTACAACCAAGTACAAATCAAAATTCTCAGTTTTTCATTAACATTATCGTATAGTTGACCAAATTATTCTCGTGTTTAGGACTAAACTTTCTGGGAGATCTCAGTTTAAATGGAAAGGGCTGGCTGGATTATTGAGTCTGGGAGTATCTGCTTAGCAATATTGTATTCTTAGGATTTCATGGTGCTTTATTTGCAATAACACAACAGCAACATTGATGCTGGGGCATCCCTCAGGGAAGCTCAGATGAAATGTTTTGTTTTTCCCTGACTCTCGGTAAGAAATTTTGTTTCATGGGATATTTTTTTTAACTTATTTTGTATTGATTTTTGTAACTAAGAAACTGTAACTTATATAGACAATATGAGACTTACTTGAAATTTCAAAGGATATGTATGAAAGATTTAGGACTGAGCCTTTGATTTACCAATAACACAGGCCTTTCTCTGCTGGTGCGTAGGGGATGTCTGCATGCACCGCACAGACATACACAAACCTGATAATGCCTCCAATAATCTCTGCATGACCTCTCTGGGCCTTGCGGACTTGTTTCAGAGGCGTTTCAGAGTCGATTGGAAGAATCTTAGAGATTTCTAATGCCTTTTGAATCCAATTCCTGAACATCTGCTTCTGCCTTGTCAGGAAGGGCTAATCAGCAGCAGCATCAGGAGCGAGGCCTTTCTGGAAAATTGCAGCTGTTTTGGAGTCTGATGTAATTTTTCCCAATTTGTATGGGACAGAGGTCGGCAACCTTAAACACTCAAAGAGCCACAAAAGTCCTAACCGGAAGCCCCCATTCAATTCTGGAGCCAACCAGAAGTCTGGTTCCCCCATCATAGTCTCCTCCTAGCGCGGCATCCTTTTTCCTCTGCTGACCGGAAGTCCAGTTTCCCCACCGTAGAGTCTCCTTCTAGCATGGCATCCCTTTTCCTCTACCTGTCCTAACTGAAAGCCCTATCAATTGTGGAGCCGACCAGCAACAAGGAACCGCAGCAGAGGGATGAAAGAGCCACATGCGGCTCCAGAGCTGTGGATTGCTGACCCCAGTATAGGATCTTGCATGCTAATATCAGCCCTGTGAATTGGCTCTGTAGCTATCAACAAGAGCAGGTGGGGTTTTTTCAGGGTGGGTATTTGTGCAGTAGGGCATCCCTCCAAACCTGGTCCTGTGTTCTGTAACTTCCAGAGTATGTACAAGCTGACCCCATACAGAGCCAAGCTTCAGGCAGCCAATGCATAACTCACTGTGGCTAAGGTATCCCTGTGTAGGAATAGATGCAGCTTTTGGACCAATCTTAAGTGGTGAAAGATGTTCCTTACCATCTGGACTTCCAGAGCTTAAGTAGTGGATCAGTTATTTCAAGAGAAGTGCAACCAGTGGTATGCTGGAGCCAATCCATAAAGCAACACATTTCCAGCAATTAAAATTAAGGCCTTCAGTGGCCCTCAGCCATGGCAGTTGGGATTACCTGTAATTTTCCAATTTGTATAATTTCATTCAGTTCTGAAAGCTTTGAACATACTTGGTTTCTCTCCAATTACTGTTGCCAACATAAAAAAGTAAAGGTTCCCCTCACACATATGTGCTAGTTGTTCCCGACTCTAGGGGGCAGTGCTCATCTCCGTTTCAAAGCTGAAGAGCCAGCGGTGTCCGAAGACATCTCCGTGGTAATATGGCCAGCATGACTAAATGCCGAAGGCACACGGAACGCTGTTACCTTCCCACCAAAGGTGGTCCCTATTTTTCTACTTGCATTTTTTTACCTGCTTTCGAACTGCTAGGTTGGCAGAAGCTGGGATAAGTAATGGGAGCTCACCCTGTTACGCAGCACTAGGGATTCGAACCGCTGAACTGCCAACCTTTTGATCGACAAGCTCAGCGTCTTAGGCACTGAGCCACTGTGTAATATGAATATGAATATGGCAATATATTCACTAATATTTGGAATGCCCTTGGTTCTTTTAATATTTCCCCCCCCACAATATATAATCTTAGAAACAATGCCTTCAAATGGCTGAAAGGAATGGCAACTAGCATTTATTATTAGCAAATCATTCCACAGAAATGACTCCAACTTGCTTTGGTTTAGTGACATGGCTTGCAGTTAAAAGCTTTCAGCAGGGCCGCACACACATACCAACAATGACTGGTGATTTGGATAATTAGAAGAAATGGCTGAGCCTTGTCTCTTTATAAGGAGGTTAGAAGTGACATGCAATTAAAAATGTGCAGCAAAGGTAATATTGTGAAGATAAAATTAAGGCAGTGGATCAGGTTGAGGACAATCAACTAATAGCTATTTAGAAAAGGGAAAAGGGGATGGTCACATTTATTTTACTGGAATAGTGAAGTTCACAAACCACTTAAGGTTCATGACTTCTATTTATTGTAATTTCCTCCATGTAGGAGATGACCAGGCTGGGCCCAAGGGAGGGGTCAAACTCATTATCAGTATGAGTCCCTTCATGCCCACAAGAGATCTAAGTCCAGCAAACCTTGTATTCTTTCTACTTTTATCTCCTGCTAATTTCCCTTGGCCATTAGTAGTTCAGATACTTGTAGAGAGTTTAAGCGTCCAATAAATCTTTATACCCCTTTGAAGTGTCTGGATCTCCTGATTTTCCTGGCACTTGGCACTACACTGGGACTTGTCTTTCTTTCCACACACTTGAGCTGCTATAATACTTTTTTTTTTTTTTGCAAAGGTACCGTATTTTTCAGAGTATAAGGCGCACTTGAGTATAAGATGCACCTTAGTTTTGGGGGAGGAATATAATAAAAAGGCTGATTGGTGGGTGGATTGGCCTCCTGGAATACCCCCAATCAGCTGTTGCCAGAGGTGAATTTTACCAAGAGGCTCATTGGTTGTGAGCTCTGTGCCTTGCTTTTTGTTTTTTCTGCCTCTGAAACTTCTGGAACTCCATTTCAGAAAAAACTTATTTTTCTGCCTCTGAAAGCCTCCGAAACAGAGCTTCAGAAAAAAGGCTTTTTTCTGAAGCTCTGTTTGGAGGCTTTTTTTCTAAAGCTTCTTTCAGAGGCTTTTATTCTGAAGGACTATCTGTACCCTGTTCAATCTCCTTTCTTTGGTATTGGTATATAGATTAACCTCTTCCGATCTGCTGGTTATTGTATCATTCTCCAGATTTGTTAGCATAGTTTGATTAGAGCCTTTACTGATTCTTCTTTTGTTGCTTGCCATATTATTTTAGATAAAAGCCTTTCAGAGGCTTTTTTTCTGAAGCTCTGTTTGGAGGCTTTTTTTTCTGAAGCTTCATTTCTGAGGCTTTTTTTCTGAAGCTTCTTTCAGAGGCTTCTTTCAGCCTCTGAAATCTCTGTTTGTGAGGGTGGGCGGGGCTACATTCGGAGTATAAGACGCACCCAGATTTTCACTCTCTTTTTTTGGGGGGGAAAGGTGCGTCTTATACTCTGAAAAATACAGTAGGTCCTTTCTGTAGAGTATGCATCTGTACTAATGGATACCATAGCAATGGGTTGCATAAAGAGCCATGTATTGTTACATCTCAGAAGGTAGCCAACTTGAGAGTCAAGGGATGTGTGTTAATCCATGCTGTTGTCCATGGACTAAAGCAGCATTTCCCTACTGATACAGTTCTATGATGAATGTCCAGGGCCTGTGAGTTTGGAGTCATTGTCTTTTTAAGTCTCCCTTAATTTTACTGTGTATATCCCAATAAGTCATCTGAGATAATAGATGAGATAAAGAGAGATAATAAAGGTAAAAACTTCTGCAAGTTAAGATGAGTCCTGGTGACTTAATGGAAAAATGTTTTGGCCACAATATGGAAGCAGTTTGCAGTCTTCTCCTGGGTGATTTTCTTGACTTCCAAATCCAAGCTACAGTTGTGGTATTTTCTGGAGAGGTCTATCCAAGCACTAACCAGAACAAGCTGAGCCCAGACAAAAGTAGCCTTCTCAATATGCCTTTTTCTAGGAAATGCAGTAACCCATTGCTTGAGCAGATAATTTCCCTATGGAATAATTTATGAGGTTTATCCTCCAGCATTTTCAGGTAGGGTGAATACCCACTTGCTGAAGGACCTGATACTGCATAGCATTTCAGTTCTCAGATTTTGGGTCAACACTTCTTTAGTAATAAGAGATTGCCCTTTTGTCTCAGGTTCAGAAGAGCTGCTGTTCCTGGTAATAGTAGTAACTGTAAGAGGGATCTTAAGAGTCCTAGTGGACTATCATTTAAATATGAGCCAGCAGTGTGCTGTAGCTGCCAAAAAAGGCCACACAGTTCTAGGCTGCATTAAATGAGGGATAGAATTAAGGCCATGAGAAGTGTTAGTACCATTTTATAATGCCTTTGTAAGACCACACTTGGAATACTGCATCCAGTTTTGGTCGCCACGATGTAAAAAAGATGTTGAGACTCTAGAAAGAGTGCAGAGAAGAGCAACAAAGATGATTAGGGGACTGGAGGCTAAAACATATAAAGAACGGTTGCTGGAATTCGGTATGTCTAGTTTAATGAAAAGAAGGACTAGGGGAGACATAATAACAGTGTTCCAATATCTCAGGGATTACAACAAAGAAGAGGGTGTCAACCTATTCTCCAAAGCAACTAAAGGCAAGACAAGAAGCAATGGATGGAAACTAATCAAGGAGAGAAGCAACCTAGAACTAAGGATAAATTTCCTGACAAAACAATTAATTTGTGGAACAACTTGCCTCTAGAAGCTGTGGATGCTGCAACACTTGAAGTTTTTAAGAAGAAATTGGACAACCACTTGTCTGAAATGGTATAGGGCTTCCTGCCTGAGCAGGGGGTTGGACCAGGGGTGAAATCCAGAAGGTTCTGACAGGTTCTGGAGAACCGGTAGCAGAAATTTTGAGTAGTTCGGAGAAACAAATATCACCTCTGGCTGGCCCCAGAGTGGGGTGGGAATGGAGATTTTGCAATATCCTTCCCCCAGGAGTGGGGAGAGAATGGGGATTTTGCAGTATCCTTCCCCTGGAGTGGGATGGGAATGAAGATTTTGGAGTATCCTTCCCCTGCCACGCCCACCAAGCCACACCCACAGAACCGGTAGTAAAAAAAATTGGATTTCACCATTGGATTGGACTAAAAGACCTCTAAGCTCCATTTCAACTGTTACTATGATAATTTTCTGTTAATTGAATTAATCATCACAGTGCTAGATGGGCCAGTCAATTCACTCCATACAGTTTCCTTCAACTGTTTGAAGCGAATGGATGTGAATGTCTTTGTTGTTTATTGCAGAGGCTGAATTTGCACATTGGCTTTTATGTAAATACTAAGCACCTGGACAATACTGTGGATGGTTCTAATGAATGTTTTCACTATTGACTTGCCAGACCAAAAATAAGCTTTTGCTGCAAAACCATGTTTGCTGTAGACCTTGTCATGGAGGAAAGAATGTGGTTATATGAGCTGTCTTGGAAAAGATTCTTGGAAATGAAATTGACATTTTAATCGTTATATTCATCTCTCACTTAGATAGGCTTGTTGTTGCTTATGCTTGTTGTACTGTTGCGAAGTTCATGGTCGAGAACTTTTTGGAACTCATCACATAATTCCCAAGGACACAATTACAAAGCTCTTGCAGTGTATTAACATTCTTTCATGTTCCTGTTGACCAGATGCCTTTAACAATCGATAAGTATTAGTAATGCTTCAGAAGCAGATGGTATCTTTTCAAGACGGTGCCATCATCTCCGCCTGCCGCACTGACTGCTTGACTAACTTTCTCTTGAATTTATTTCTAGAATGCTGTCTTGCTTAAAGGAAAAGGATTTCAGCGCGGCAAGGACTTCAATAGTTTGGCAGACCATGGAAAAGCATCATCGGCAATAAGAAATCATGTTTTGTCCTATAGTGAAATGCATTTCCTAAGCTACTTCAAATGCCTGTCAGGAATGAGTTGCTCTGATTCTCTTGGAAAAATCAAAAACGATTCACAGTATTTTGAGCAGGAATAAACAAACAGCCATAAGATTTAATGTATGCCTTAATTTGGCTTTTTTTTTTGGGGGGAAAAAGCAACTCCAACTCAGACAGGATCAGACACTCCCTACTTCACCTCTAGGTAAAGGTAAAGGTTCCCCTTGCACATATGTGCTAGTCGTTCCCGACTGTAGGGGGTGGTGCTCATCTCCGTTTCAAAGCTGAAGAGCCAGCACTGTTCGAAGATGTCTCCGTGGTCATGTGGCCGGCATGACTAAATGCCGAAGGCGCACGGAATGCTGTTACCTTCCCACCAAAGGTGGTTCCTATTTTTCTACTTGCATTTTTTACGTGCTTTCGAACTGCTAGGTTGGCAAGTAACGGGAGCTCACCCCGTTATGCAGCACTAGAGATTCAAACTGCTGAACTGCCGACCTTTCGATTGACAAGCTCAGCATTTTAGCCACGGAGCCACCACGTACCTATGAGCCACCGCGCCCCTTTACCTCTAGGTCAAATCTAATTCAACATTTGTAATTCCCATTGACTAGAATGGAAAAATATCAATGGATGTAACATTGACTTGTTCGTTTTTTTCAACAGAAGGTGATAAAAATTTACAGGAGCATCACAAAAGTTAAAATAGTTCAAGTTTTCTCAGATACAGAGGAAAGAATGCCGAGACTTTGGAGCCAGCTTATCCCTATCTAATGCTGATGATAGAAATGCCTGTACTGATATCTTTGTCTTTTGGGACAGAATTGGACTACATTTGCCAATACATATCAGAAAAATAAATCTTACCAGATTTCGAAAAGGGAGGTGGATGGAAGTGCACATGTGGGCTACTAAAACAATTAATTTTCCTTAATTTGGATGAGCTACTCTACTGAAAGCAGCAAGCACTTTTAACATGACCCCTGTGTGCAACTTCAATTAATTTTTTTGACTGTTTTTAGGTAGAACTAATTTATATCTCCTAGTAAAACCAAAGCATTTTGATTGGATTTTGATTTTTGTTCTTGAAATGTTTTCTTTTTTTCTTTTTTTGATGATTTGCAAAATGAACCGGGAGGCATTCACTTTCTTTGATTGGATTTTGATTTCGTCCACCCACCCACGCATCTATCTATCTATCTGTCTGTCTATCTATCTATCTATCTATCTATCTATCTATCTATCTATCTATCTATCTATCTATCTATCTATCTATCTATCTATCATCTATCTATCTATCTCTACCTGCCTATCTATCTATAGCTATATCTATCTATACCTTTCTATCTATATCTACCTACCTATCTATCTCTATATCTCTATATTTATCTGTCATCTCTCTCTCTCTCTCTCTCTCTCTATCTGCCTACTTATCTATAGCTATATCTATCTATACCTATCTATCTATATCTACCTATTTCTATCTGTCTATCTATCTATCTATCTATCTATCTATCTATCTATCTATCTATCTATCTATCTATCTATCTATCTCTCCCTCCATCTCAAGTCTACTTTCTATAGTATCAGAAGTTGACTCATTCACAAAGCTTTGCAGGAGAATGTGGATCAGGGGTGAAATGCTCCCGGTTCGGACCGGCTCGGGCGAGTAGGTAGCGATGGCAGCGGGCAGTTCGGAGAACTGGTAGCAAAAATCCCTGCCCCCGCCCCCCATGCCCAGCTAAGCCGTGCGATCATCAGAGCCTTTTTTTTCCTTTTAAATGGCTCTGAGAGCCCAGCTCTGACGATCCCAGCTGAGTTGCCTGGATCGCCAAAGCCATGTAAGAGAAAAAAACTTTTTTCCTTTTAAATGGCTCTGACCAGCCAAGCTCTGACGATCCCAGCTGTTGCCTGCTAATCGGTAGCAAAAATCCCTCCCCCTCCCCCCCTCAGTTTGTTTACCTTAGCCTGGTCGTAACGCCTTGCTGTAATCCCTGCAATCGATTGCATCAGCAAGCAACTGTATCTCCCTGCCTGCAATCAAGCCGGCAGAAAGTTGTGGACTTCAACTCCCAGAATTCCTCAGCCAGCAAAGCAAAGCTGGCTGAGGAATTCTGGGAGTTGAAGTCCACAAGTCTTAAAGTTGCCAAGGTTGGAGACCCCTGTTCTATTGGGTAAGTTTTTTTCCCCTTTGGGAGCTTTAAAAAAAATAGTTAATTGGGGGATTTTTTTGTTGTTCTTTTTTTTAGACCTAGCCATTTAAAGTTTAGGAAGTTTTAAATTTAGCTGCTTTTATATAAAAATAAAATAAAATAATATTTGTGCAGCTTTCTGAGATTTTGTGTGTTTCTGTAGTGTTTCACTCTAACTACACAAACACACAAAATCTCACAAAGCTGTATGTGCCATTTTGTGTGTCTAGCACAGCTGCTTTTACATTGTGGGTGAGCCAGTTGTGTTGTGTTGTGTTTTGTAGGTTAAAAAAGAGCAAAGAAGTAACATTGACTTGGCCACGCCCACCTGACCAACAAGCCACGCCCTCTCAGTTACCTTACCATTAAGCCACGCCCACTGAACCGGTAGCAAAAAAATTTAGATTTCCCCCCTGATGTGGATGTTTTATGGGGACTGCTTTATTCTAATTAGCCAGTTGGGCTTTGAAATTAGGTTTCAGGCAAATCCAACAGACAGTCCTCATAATTCTTCATGCTGCATTTATAATATCACATCTTGACTCTTTGTGGTCCATGACAACATGTATCGGAGTTGTCAGAGCAATTCAATTTCCCACTGGCAACTTTTCAAGCTTTCATATCATTTAATGTTTTCCAGTGCTTACACTCATGAGTAAAAACGAAAAGCTGTTTTCAGATTCTAATCTATGACCTCTAACCTATACTTCACTTTTAAAGACCAAAGCCAGAGAAGAAAGGAACAAATTAGTTTCATCATGTACTTCATGTCAGTGAAGCGTTTAGTTAAGAGAGGCAAAAATACATTTCTGGTTCCTAGACTGAAATAAGTAGCTTCTGTGAAAATAGGTATTACCAGTAGTTACTGAGGTGATTTACAATCATTGTAATCGCTGCAGTTTATTAAACAATATTTGCTACAGTCTGTTAATATAAATGAAATTTGCATTTTTAAAATCATATGAGTTTTTACAACTGTTGTTCTATGTATGCTTCTTGTATGGTTGTAGAGGCCACACTTCCCATACTTTTGAGTAATATAGACAATGTTAATGCTGGGCATCATAAAGGATTGTTTTCCATATCTACTCTCTTTTCTGCTTGCCCATGTTCTTCTTTTGAAGGGCATATCAAAATTTGAAAACTCTTGGGTGACTCTGCTGGAGACTGTAAATGCAGTCTCCAAGCTGTTTTTTTAAAAAAACTTATCAACTGAATTGGAGAAACTGGTTAAATCAGAATAACTCAGTGTTGTAAAACTGGGCTCCCCAGCACAGTGACCCTGAGGGCTGGTGTGCTTGGCCTCAGTTCCCTGGTGCCCATAACTTCCCTGCTCCAACAGGGCATTCTTGGGGAACAAGGAGGCAAATCATGATATGTGCATCATGACATCATTATGCAAATAATACTACTTTGCATTAGTTGATAGAGCGTTACACAATTGTGCCATTTGCACAGTGACACCCTGATGCATGTACTATCGCTACTGAAATTCAGCAACAAATCACTATTTTTTTGTGACACGATTGCATATCTTGTCATGGGTGCGGTGGCTCTGTAGTTAGAATGTAGGCTTGATGTTTAGCAAGCATGAGTCTGAGATCCGGGTACTGTATGGTGGGATGAGTTCCTGCCATTTGCTCCACCTCCTACCCACCTAGCAATTCGAAAGCATGTAAAAAATGTGAGTAAATAAATAAGTACCACTTCAGTGGGAACTTGCACAGGGATGAAAGAGGGGAGTCCCGACTTGACATCCCTCGAGCAACAGTGATGTCACCAGCTAATACTTCTTGATCCGGATGTGCCTTGATGGCTGCTTCCTGGTCCCATTAGCTGCCGAACATCTACTGTCTCTGATGCTTTTTGTACATCGCCATATGCGAAATAAATAAATGTAAATAGGTGTTCAGCCTCTGTAGCCTTCATATCTCTATTTTTGCATTAAACTCTTCTAACCCTTCCCAAATCTCAAAAATTGGAATTAATTATTTCAACTACTCCCTCTTCTTCTGAAGACATCACTCTGTAATTTTTGTAATCTTGGACCTGAAAAATTAAAGTATGACTGTTATCCCCAGTAAAAAGTTGCTTGGCCAGGTCAAATGCACACTAATCTGTTCCTGTTAACTTTATGTAGTTTTCAGCAGAAATGGCAAACAAATCTACAAACTCTAGTAGTTTTTGCAGATCGCTTAGAACTCCTTTAACTTTGGGATTAAGAGTCATGATGGCATATTGGAGCCAATGATACTCTCTATACATGAACCTATTCCTGATTTTCTCCAGCCAGAATATTAAAAATTGGAAACTGGCAAACCTAATTACTGGTGAAAATATCAAAACAATGAAGTGACTATATTCCTAAGTGGAATATTAGTCACATTTTACTTTAATTCCATTTATGGCAACAATTCCAGAATGTATCTAGAACTCTATTATGACAATAGAATGGAGCTTGGTTATTTGAGTCATTTACAAATGTAGAAAGTTAGAAAGAAAATAATGTTACACCTAGAGGACACTCACTGCTGTTTTTCTTTGTGATTCTGCCATAACCTGATGTACAGGCCCTTCCTGAGGCAGCCTGAAGTTTCCCTTAACTATACAAATATTTTCTCCTTTATCCCAACACAGTTTCAATGTGTTTACCTCCTCCCTCCCTCCCTTTATCTTCATGAAGAAAAGGAGTGGGTCATTTCTGAGATGATGCTTTCTCAAAATACATTTCTGCCCTGGACTCATGTTTCTTTTATCTGATTGTTTTGTCTTGGTTGTTGCCTCCTTCTTCTGTTTCTCAAGGTTATTCTCACTGCCTATTACAGTCTTGCGATCCCCCTGCCTTGCCAGGGCTCCAAACCAATTCTTAATTCAATACTAAATCAGTACTAAACCCATGTCTAAAAAGAATTTGATTCAAAGCTAAC